ATTATCATGTGTATTATTATTTTCTAAACACAATGCAATTTGAAAATATTTAGATTAATTTTAAGCCATATAATTTACATCACAAATCTACTTATACCATTTTACAGTAAATTGGTGTTAACTTATAAGTTGTGTAATATGCAATTTTTTAGTAAAAATTTGTCCCACCTACAAAACTAATAAAATATTAACACAATATTTTATTTTATTATTAGAGCCAGCTAAGAATGAGAATTCGGTTATCATATACTGCAAATGGTGTGCCAATTCAAGACCAAACCGAAGTGAATAATTTTCCAACCCCACCAGATACATTTGGAACATCAACATTAGATCTTTGGTCTGAAAATCAATGACATAAAGTATTAATGGCCATTGGCTAAAAAAATATAGCAGTAGGTTTGAGTTGTATGTGTTTCATTGTGATAAGTGTTTTATTTTTGTCAATTATTTGAGAAAAATTTGAAATTTTACATCTATCAATAACACAAATCATTGTTTTTAAGTGTTAATTTTAATTTTTAAAATAACACGGTACAGTAACTATGACTTATTTTAACCAATTGTGTATTGTACTTAAAAACTTGTATTATTAGCTCACAGTATTATGAAACAATGTTTTTGTTTACATTAGTTCTCAATATAAAATTTTATTGATAGTGGAAATAATTGTTGATGTTTGTGATAATTTTTAAACTGCACACTCTATTATTTTTATTTCGGTTGTAAATCAAAATCCGGTTGTGAACTCCTAATAATATTTAACAATTAAGTTCACACTTACGAATAATTTTTTATCAATTTTAAACATGCATTCAATTTTATTTTATTTATTTTTTTTTTGTATCTGTGTCTTTATTCTTTTCTGCACTATTTGTAGATGCATTAATATTATTATTCATTACTATATAATATGTATATAAAATAATAACTTGTTGATAAAATGTTTATCATTGTTAACTATATAAATTATTATGCATTGTATTATTATTATTATTATTATTATTATTATTACATTAATAAAATATTGTATTAATTTGAATTTCTAATTATTTCAAAATTTAAATATTGTTGATTAGGTATGTAATTTGAAGTGAGTATATGCAACTCTAAAATTTAACTTCTTTTTTTTACATGTAATATACAATCTTTATCAAATTATATTAGACACAGTAATAATATGTGATAAGAGTTAACAGATCATGAGTATTTGAAGAAAGAAACCACCCATTGATAACACTTTCTATTAGCTTGTTATTTTATTTTATTTAAAAGATCGTGACACTAATTAGTTTCAAACGTCTTAGAGGATTGCCAGATATTGTGGGAGTAGCCTAGTTTTTTATTAATTGATTTGGATGATTATTAAATTGGTTGTAGAATCTTTTATAAAAAATTTTTGCTTCATCATTTATTGATTTAAGTTTTAAATCTGTGTGTAGTGTATGATTTGATACGTAGGGTGGAGAATTTATTAGTTTTATTAGAGTAATATTTTGGGAGGTATGGATTTTCAAGATATTTGACTTTCGCATTGTCCCAGTGCTGAAGGCTGTAGGTCTATAGTGGTTTCAATAGCGTTTTATTCTAATTAAGGTGTATTTATTATTACATGATAAGGGCTTAAGCATGAGAAGACAATTAAAATTCAACCTAATGATTATTATTATAATTAGAAATCACTAAATATTTTACTGATGTTAATAATTATAATTTTAAATCTAAAAAAGTAGTTTATTATTCTCCATCAAATTCTTGAACAATACATCACAATCAATTACAAAATTGGAAAATGTTGTTACATTGTTGAGCTTAATTATTTACAAATCATATAAATATTAATTTACGTTATAAGAACATTTTTAGAGTCAAATAACTTTTAATTAATGGTTTCCAACTGAACTAAAATCTTTTGATACTAAAATATATTTAAATTTTATTTTCTATGTTTTATGTCAAATGACAAATATACCTAATCAACAGTCAACCAGTCAAAATGAGAAACCAAATAAGTCAGCTGGAGTAGCTATGCAAGGTAATATTCATTTAGCATTTGCCTTTAAAATTTTAATGTCGATACAAAATTTAATGGACAATATAATTAGGTATAATAATTATGCAAATAAATTGAAATAATGGATATAGCTTTTCTAACCATTAACATTAATTACGTTTATCGCCAGTCCCCACTACTATAAACGCAAATAGGGTTGGGGAAGAGCAGTGGTGTGCAGTTTTTTTGAATGGGAGGGGATATACATTTTTACTTGTTACATTATCCCCCTGAACATCTTAAAAGAGACATTTTAATCTTCTACTTTAAACTTCACACTTTTTATATTTAGTCATTCAAATTGAAACATTAATAAAAAAAAAATATTTTCCTTTCGTAAATACATTATATACATACAAGTTTAATATATTATTTTAGTTATACAATTCATTAATTAATTTTCAACTAAAGGAGAATTTTTAGTTTTCTTGGGTTCTTGACAATCTCATCCAACACTTCATCTGGTGTAACAATCACGTCTTTGTGTATTGCTAACATAATTAAACCATTTAAACGATCCTACAAGAAACAGAAAAACATAACATAAAAAAAAAAAAAATAAATTAATTAATAAATTCTTATTTGAGATTATATCTCAGTCATTGAATTTCTCAGGTATGTTTTTACTCGTTTAAATATGGAAAAAGACCTTTCAGGACTTTAGGTGTTGAAGTTGAAGCAAGTTAAGTGGATAAAATTTTTAATAGTAATTATTAAAAATTATTTAAAAGTAAATATTAAAAGTCCTTTTTATGATGGCATCGCCTGCGACTCTGGCTGGCTTGACCAGGTCGTCTTCTCTCCGCAGTGCACGAGTACCAGCCAAGCTATGCGTGCATGAGCACCAGCCAAACTATCGAGTGCATGAGCACCGACAAAAATTATGACTGCGGGCGCACCAGACAAGCGAGCTGGAGCCTTTTTCCCAAAACCACCACACGACATACACACAAGACTCTGCGAGCGACAACTGGACTTCTTTCTTTTTCTAATTTTAATCAGTGTTGTTTTTCTTATTTAAACATAAGTTTTCCTTAAATCGAATCGTAACTTGTGTCACCTTATACCTTTCTCCGAGGAACGTACTATAAGTATTCACTGCGGCGAATCATGTAAGGTGCATGTCTAAAATACTAATTTTTAGTACAGGTTATGTTACTATCTAATTTGTGTAACGGTGTATTTGATCACATTCTTGAATCACGATCTCGAGAACCCTCCAAAGAACAGGAGGAAGGTAATAACACGAGAACAAGTATACTCAATATTTATTAATACTGGACTTACATACAAGGCTTGTGTTCCTTGTGTCAGTCCGGCCGCATCATACTTATACCTTTCATCGTACTTTTAGTATTTTTATATTTAAACGTTAATTTCACTTTTTTGTGTTATTACAATATTGATTACCTATAATATCTAAATAACCTCTAAAGCTTTCTTTCGCGCATTAAAAGCTTCATATACTAATTTGCGTAAAAGCTGACTCTCCACACCGCCAGTTTTGGCAAACACAACACTATGTTCACAATAAATGCCTTGGTTTTTTTCAAAATAAGCAAGCCAATTAAACTCAAGCAGCCATTTATATTGAAATTTCAAACTTCTTTTTTCATTTATAATGCATAAGGGAAATTTATTTGTAGGCAGTGGTACTCATACTTTAGTTAACGCCTAGATAAGTATTACAATATTTATGAAAAAATAATTATATTTTCTTTTCTTTAATAAAATCTTAAAGCAATAGATAACTTACAGAATACATTTCATCATTTGTTAAATCACGATTGATAAATATACCTATGTCATTTACGTCTGGCCACGACACTGGTTATAAGATTATGCCGCCATATATTTTGAAATAATATGAGGAAATAAAATTTCTCTAAGTATAACAGTTTTTACGTACACGTATGAGTATTTGAATAACCCCGTGGGATTGGCGGCAAATAATTATATACGATAATATTGATAACAATATGATGACTGATAAAGATACAATAAAAAAAGTGATAAGTGATAACAATGTAATAACTAATAAATGGTACTATAGGTACGGTAGGGGCGACGGCTTAGTTTTTAGATAAAAATATAAAGTTAAAACAATTTTAAAAATTAAAAAAGACAAAATTGTTTTTTATAAATAAATATGAAGTAGCCTCAATAATAATTTTAAAATCTACTGTTTTGTTTTATTTTTTAATTTTTAAATTGATTATTTTGTAATAAAAGTAATACCACTGGAACAAATACACGACACTTATAAATACCTAACTGCTAATACTTTCTCAGTATCCACTATAGATCCTTATATCTAGCTGCTGCCTACTTACCATTTCATTGTGGCTGGAGACAATTGTATGAAAACCACCTTTGACAACGTTATATTCGAAAAGCTGATAAGTGATAACGTGAACGAAAGAACAAGTAAACTAAAAAGTAAAAATGTATCAGTCATTTATCATTACATGTAAAATATTACGTATTTTATTTTTCATACATTGGTGTAAAGTGTAATATATATGCTTATAAAATTTATATAAATGTAAAAATAACATAAAAATATAATATAGATAATTGATTCAATTAAACAGGAAAAATTAATGACTATCTATAAATAGTCTGTGTATACTGTATTAACAAATTTTCTATTTTGTACATTTGTTAGATGGTGACAAAATATTATCAGACGTGGAGCATCCATTTAATTGTTTTTATTAAACCACAAGTTGCACGACGAGTTTTTGGAGAAATCCAATCTCAGTAAATTGGATACAAATTGCAAAATGATGTTATAGACACCTATTCGAGTTGAAATCTCCGAAAAACAATAAAAGGGCACTAGAGCAATGTAAAAATATATATGCGTACCTGAATATTTAAATGTCTCATATTGTTACGCATAGATATTTTTTTTTAAATAAAGAGACACTGTATATTACCTGCAATTACTTATTTTATGGAGTATACGCTATATTATCTTACAATAAATAATTATAACAATTTATAATTTAAAAAATAGGAGTTTAAGGTGGGATCAAGAACATGTGTATACTTTAGGGCTCAATCTTTAAACATAATTTTTATACACTCGTCGAGTCAGAGAGCGGTGCAGATTAATACTCGAGCTAACTGTCAGTAAGCTTCCATTTTTTTTTCACGCAATAACAGTGCTTTTTTAGTCTCCAGTCATCCGTGCAATAACTCTGAAACCCGTACATATTGATGCGACTTATGTCGCCCAGCATTCCGAACGCGCCACTGCCGTCTTCTTGTCCAACGGTCACCTCAAACATGCTCCCACCGGGTAACGTTTCTACGACCAACAAGTACTCGCGGAGACCGTTTCCCCGGTTTACCCTGCTTCGGACTGACACGGTTTTTCTCAGTGACAAGTTTGAGCAAACGTACCCCTTGCGCACCATCTTTCGGTATTTTGCTAGCAGCGCGTTCAACTGCCGCACCACATACTTGCCGCCATCCATTGCTATCCTGCTGCGCCGGTCTAGTTCTTCATATTCGTCGCACGTACACCAATGCGGCGCGATGCCCGCTTGTTCGCACGACCTGCTCTTAGATAAAACAAGGAAAAACGGTTCAATATAATATATTACAAAAAAATAATTACGTAAAGTCTCTACGAGTACCAACTACTTGTAGCTATTGAATTGCAGTATTTTTCTACACCACCTGCAGGACTAGTGCCGCAACTACTGGAGATGATGGCGGTGCATGGAAAATTGTACCCCAAATGAAGCCTCATAATTTCATGAAAGGACCCCGAAGACTTTACGACACTAAATTATATCAACACATATAGACATCCAGCCTGCATCTAGGCTCCCATATTCCTAATTGCAGCACCGTGTAGGACTTATGAGATAGACATTTCGAGAGTATTCTTCATAAAGTTATTATCATATCTATAGCTCAAACTCGCGTTTTTTATTCGTATGGAATTTACTGTTACTGAACGTAACAAAATATTAATCTTGTGAACGTAATTGTTTTTCATTTAAAACAAGAATGAGGGACCGCTATACAATAAGCCATGTATTTATTATATCTATATCAATTGACAATATTATTATTAATAAAACGTAATAGATTATAATAAATTGTATACGCATGCTGCAATAAGACAACATATACACGGTGTGTATTACACGCAGAAAGGGCGTAGGAAGGGACGGCTATATGAGATACCACCTTAATATCCCTTTGGTTCGTTTCTGCTAATTATTAGTATATACTATAGGTATAAAAAATATTGATGTATAATTTATGTTTTAGTGAAATGCATAGGTACTTGCGTATAGTACATTTTCCTAAATAAATATTCAGTTGCCTACAAGATTTTTGTTACTAAGATTATACTAAAATGGTTTCATAATTCATAGTAAGCGTAAGGAATATTAAATTCCTCCCCTTCGGTTCTATATAATACGAGTATGAAATACAAATATACAATAACCTGTTGGTGTCAGCCACCCGGAACAGACTGTGACAAGTTGGACAGCCTTCGGCCACAACAGATGGAAGACTACTGTTGTTATCGTTTTCGTCTTCGTCGTTGAGCTGCTGAAACAGCAATTGCTTGAGCGTTAGGTGGAGATCGAACGGCGACGTCAATCGGTGCTTGTTGGTAGCCAATGCAGCGCGGTGGCTGAGTCGCGCTGCTACGTATCCGGTGGGCAGGCGCGCGTAAAACGCTGGCATCCGGTCCTCGAGCCAGCCGACGTGCGTCTCGCGTATCGCTCCGAACCGGAGTCCGTGATCGCTGAGCACCACCGTGACTGCGTTGTCCAGCAGACGACCGTCCAACAACTTGGACAGCGCGCCGGCCGTTCGCTGGTCCATGGCCGACGGCGTGTTCACGTCGTTATGGCTGAACGTGTTAAGCCAAAAAACGGCGAAGTATCCGTGGTGTCTGTGCAGCTTGACAAAGTCCTCCACGTAAGCGTACACCCGATCGGGCGCTGACCGCGGGCCCAGGCAGAAGTTCATGCCGTCGTACTTGACTACCGGCAAGTAACGCTCGGCCGCCAGCATGTACGGCCGCGAGTAGTAATCGGTCGGCGCGTTTCGAAATCCGTATTTACCGAAGTTGTAAGTGCCCATGCTGGGTTCGTCTTCCACATACGCTGTGACGTAACCTGTAATGACACGATGATGACCGTTTTATTTTTTATCTTTAGTATCTGACTGTCCTAAATTATATTATCACCCACTCCCCCAGCAAAGTCTAGGATAGTTGTTGAAACAAACAACTAATTTTTTTTTTATATTCATATAGTAATTACTAATTAGTATTCGAACATATCTGTAAACATATGATGAATGGTATGTGTCAAACGATAATATTTCATAAACATATCATAACAAAATTCAAAATGGAATAAGTGGAAAAACAGAGTTTTTGCTTAGTAGTAAATAGTATGTTATTATAGGCCGAATAAGTAAAAACAATGTCACAACGGTTTAAACGTGAAATGTCAAAATATCACCGGTATATGCTATTATATGCTAGTACCGAAAAAAAGTAAGCCGTCTTATGCGAGCAGGAGCGAAATTACGACGAAAACACTGTACCTAATTTAACCTTTTTATTTTTTAGTTAGTCTTATTCTTGAGACTATTATTATTTCACCCTAACACATACAGTAATTGTAATATATAAGTTTATAATGATATAATAATGGATTTATATTTATTGTCCAGTTGCGTCATTTGAAAAGCACAAGGGATACCTAACCTATGCGTGATAAAATCCAATATTATTATACTTTGGCCTATTTCTTAAATTGGTTGTCCTAAAAATAGATACATTTTAGGCAAAGATAAATAACAATAAAGTGTTAAAAAAATTTTAATTACGCCATTGTTTTGTATTGAATATATTAACTTATTAGTATAAAATAAGAACTAAACTTAACCATAAATACATAAATTAAAAATGTGGTAAGACCCCTATTTTTCCTTGCAAAAATAAATCTACATGCTTATGAGCTATATTTTAAGTCATGTCGAACATAAAATATAGTTTAGTATGGTTATGACGTTATGTGTATCTACGTCCTACACTATACAAATATTTAAAAAAAAAACGCCAAAAAGTCAAAAGAGTATATTATATTTATTGAGTATATGATATATAACAAATGAATTAAAAAATCATTATGTATGAGACATAATACATCTCTTAAAAATAAACGCCTATACTTGAAAACATATATAGTTCAGCGTTTCTCAAACTGTGGGTCGCGACCCCCTGGGGGATCGCTAGTCAAATTTTGGAGGGGTCGCGAGAAGTAGTATTATATTATTATTATAAGTATATTTTTAAAATGATTATTATTATAAGTATATTTTTAAAATGATTATTATTATAAGTATATTATTACAATTATTGTTATTATAAAGTAATAAAGTAAGTAATAAAAAAATTTGTTTTTTGAAATTACTTTTTTGATTCTGTAAATGTAAAACTATGGGGGTCGTAATAGATTTTTGGAAAAAAAATTGGGTCGCGGTCATAAAAAGATTGAGAACCACTGATATAGTTAATAACAAATTAAAATTCACTGCAGAAACGTTCGATTCAAATAAAATAATGTAAGAATCAAATCAAGGACAAAGTATTAGTCGTTGACTTTAAAACATTAGCGTAATATGCTACAAGAATATACATTAAAACCACCGGATACATAATTTAATCGTTTATTATTTATCGTAAATGTAGCCATTAACATTTGAAGAGGCAATAACCGGACATCCGGACGCCATTTGAATGATTTGAGACATAACATGAAATATAAATGAAAAAAAACCTATACCGTTGAATAAAATAGTATTACAAAATGTATGCGAGTATACAAAATTCAATCTATTAAATTTACTCAATCTTCAATTTCAACAACAATTATTACCTACGACTTTACTTAATATTACTGCAATTAATTATATTACACGATTTTAAAAATATAGGTATCTTTATTTATGAATTACTTCAAAATTAATGTTTACATGACTATATGTATTTAAATCTCAATTATTTTTGATCGACGATTCGTAATTATATATTTATAATGTAATATGTGTAATTATATTTATAAAGGTATTAAGTAGGTCAATATAATATGTTATATAATTCTATAAATTATAATAGCTATTTACCTCGTTTTTTGAAATCTTTCCACAGAAATGGACATTCGTCCATCTCGTCTTTGGGACTATTCCAACATCGTTTAGTCATTTGATTTACAAACATGCCAGTTAAAATTGGAACAACGTTTGGAAACGTATTGTCGGCAACTTTAGTGTATCCCTCTAATGACATGAATCCATGCGTTTCCAACAAACGATATGTTATAGGCATCGATCGTATAAGATTTAAGCGAGACAATGAATCTATAGATATTATTAAAACACTGGGTTTATCTGGGATATCTGCATTTCGAAATTGCCTTTGACCTTTATCGATCACCATTGCATGAATATCTTTATAAACCGTTGATTTTAATTTATCGCCATTTGGTCTCAATTCACATGTTACCATCATATATTCAACTGACTTAGGAATTATTTCTGAATCGTTGATGGGATAACATTTTGGCTCAACTCTAAAAAATACGATCAAAGGTTAATTAAAATGCTTACTTAAAAATCAAAACATAAAAAGAGACGTTATACATATGTATTTGTTGTCTTTATCTTCTACATTAAATTTGTAATATAATTTTGTTGGTTTTGGTGTCGAAACCAACTTAAACCATAAATTCTATAATTACACAAGTACACAACTCTATAGCATAGATTATTATGTATAAGATTGATAGAAAATAAATATATTGATAAAATAATTAATAAATTAATAGATATAAAAAAAATAATTTACTAAAATATGAAAAACAACAAAATTTTATTGGAAATTTGAAATATCAAGAAAATATAAAACTAAAAAAAATAACTCTATAAGTATCCTCATAAATATTTTTAGCGAAATAATAACATTCAACATTCCTTGAATGAATAGATTATTTTTTATGTATTATGTATTTGATTTAAATTCAATTCTTAAGTATTTCAAGAATAAGGACTATGATATTAGTTAATAAACTAATATTTTTTTTTCAATATTTGTTTGTTTAATTTAATTAATATGTATCTATAATCTTGCTCATATTTACAGTTTGACTTTATTTCTCATAGTCTATAGACTCTTACAAAAATAATTGCCGATTCAGCTATATATTATAGATTATAAGCTATTAAATTATATTCTACTATTACTATAAATACTAGACAATAAGCAGTAGGCATATACATATTAGTTAACCTATAGTCATAGTCTATAATATTATTATACTACTTTATCATGAATAAAATATAATCAATTATGAGTATAAATGTACTTAGCAGTTAAGTTGAATATAATATCAAATAAATACTAAACACATAGCAGTTAATAGGAACTTTATTAATAAATCGAAGTTGTTCTTAAGATTTTTAAATTGTAGCCACTTGAATTAAAGAGAAATGATAATAATTAATAATAGAATAATTTATTGATATTTGAAGGGAACCTATACCCAGATCCTAGATTAAACTGAATGAGAGATCGACGATAATAGTATTGGTAGACAAACTGTTAAGTTAGAAATAATAGTTTATTACTTAAACAAACAATGGCTATACGCACTAATTTTTTTAAATTATTAGACTTTGGTAAATTTACGAATTTTATGTCTCAATATAGTAAGTAAATTATAGTATATTAAATAGATCCGGTAATACATAAATTATCATTCTTATTAATATTAAGGTATATTACTTATGTATTACATTGTCATATTATGATTCTTGAACATTAAAATATAAATATTTATGTGAAATATTTAACAGGGAGACAAAAACATTTGTAAGTTTAATTTAATAAATAATATAATTTTACTGATCTTGGTAAAATTATTTAGTGGCATGTAGATACATAAATATATGTTGACATAGTATATTGTGACATTTTCTTGATACAAAAACAAGTGTGATAATTATTAATCGATAAACATAAGATGAAAATTCTTAGCCCATACTCAAACCAACCCATAATATAATTAAATATCAAAAAAAAAAATCGAATTTGTACAACAAAACAATATGTACCCTACTTCAGTTTCAGTAATATATTATAATATATATCAAGTGTTATATTGTAATAACTTAAGTTACTGTCAGATCAATGACCACAGTTGCCGAGGTTTTATTTCTTTAATGACTTAATTTTAAAAATAAGATGAAAAACTATTTTTATACACATGTATTTGAATAACAGTATAATGTATGATAAACAAATCGTTTATATTTGTTTACCTTCTTTCTCGAACTGTACCATACAAAAATATTATGTAAAAGTATAAAATCCCGGACTTGGTACTTTAGTAATGATATAATTACTCTTATTTTTAATATAAATTAATAGGATCTTAAATTTTAATATTTAAATTTTTTACATAATATTGTGATAATAGAATGTCATCACTTGTTCGGTACTTTTTTTTTATATGTAAAAATAAAAAAAAAACATACTGAAAATATATATTTCTCTGCAAATAAATAATAGGTGCATTTATTTATGTTTTATGAAAAATTACATTTTACTTCTCAGTATGTAAATTATAATAGTTGTAATTCTTCATTTCTGCAATAACTGAATGACATAATATTAATGACTCATTCCGCAATACATATATAATATCCAGTAAACAAATTATAATTATGTTTCGTCATTTTAAACAACGATTAAATGCACATTTTTAAGTGCTTAGCTTATAAAATTAATAAGGGTAATTTTAATTTTAAATACTATACTTAGTTTTTTTCATAAGAAACAATTTGTACAATTGTAGGTTACCTACCTAATTTTTATACTATCTTATATGTAAAAATTAATTAGTCATTGCTATAATTATAATTCAAAATTTACACCATACCTACATAAAATAACTAAAAATTAAACTATTCGAATATAATATAATTTTTATCATACAAATCATAAAACTGGTAAATAGTATGCCTAAGCATAAAATATTGTATAGAAAAACAGAAGTGATCAATTTGCGGCACGCATTTTTTTTACAACACATTTGATATTATTGAATTGCAATAATTGCATACTAGTTTACTAATATAGTGAATAGAAATGTATAATTTAGCAACATCATTTTTGTATAAATTTTACAATGAATGTCAATAATTTGCGAATACTATTATACGCTAATAGTAACCGAACATACGTCACACAAAAAAATCTTTGGTCTTTATAGTGAGTATTGAACTATTTTTAAAAATCCCACTGTATGGAAACACATTGAATGGTATATGTTATATTTTTATCACTGCTTGTATTGGTGAATATTGGTTGCAGTAATCTCGAAATTATAACATAATATACCAAGCTAATAAGTGTAGAATAACTTTTAAAGTTTATAGTATTAGTTGATAATTTTGAAAAATTGTATAACCTTATTCAACAACTTATAAATTATGGGTATATTTAAATGATGGTTCATAAAAATATTTATTGTAGGTTTTCATTAAAATACGGTAGACATTTATTGACATTTTATCAAAGTAGGTTAAATAACTGAAAGAGAGATAAAAAGTAGTCTAAAAATTCAAATGATTTTAAGGTACTATAAATATAATATTTAGGTTATTTTGGAGGAGTCTATAATTCTTTTACCAATAATAGGAGTGACAAATTTAAGTCAAGTAAAAACCACTAAAAAAAAAAAAATCACGAAAGTCAAAATCACAAAATGTTTTAATAGAGAAAACATTAATAGTGAAAAGTAAGAAATTCTTTTTCTTTATTATACCTTTATATAGTAATAAGTAATAATAATACTATATAACCAATTTGTACTTCTGTATCTTCGATTATGTAGATAATAAAGATAAGCCGTGGTTGAATACTTAACCATTACTGAGTCGTCCGTTAGATCTGTATCGACTGTGTCAGTGTCGTATCACTTGTATCGTATCCATAAGATATAAATTTCATAATAATTCGAAGTCAATAAAACAAAAAATATATTAAAATATAATAATTATTTGTTTAGATTTGACAAAAAAAATAGACGCAGAAAGAGGAACCCCAGATTTCTTATTTCATTGTGGAACTGTTGTCTGTTATACGTCTACTATCTCTGGTTTACTTAGTACAAATAATTATGTTAAAAGGTGGCATAGAGACTTCAATAATTTATTGAGTTCATGTCATTTAACAATATGGAAATTTATTGAAGAAATTCAAAAGAAACAAAGTTTAAACGAAATGAAAATAAATCAATATATAACGGGTACCATCGAATCGTCCAGAAAACGTAAAAAGGATACAATTAAACAATTAGTTAATGACTACAAAAACATGAAAAAACTAGAATAATTAAGAGGTATTTCCTATAAATTGTATAAAATTTGATTTTTATTTTATAATACTACAGCTTTATTGATAATTTAAATTTATATGGTTTAGGAAAAATATATCGAATAAAATGTATTACTTTTCGCTATTAATGTTTTCGCTGTTAAAACATTTCGCGATTTTTATTTTCCCTGTTTTTGGTTTGCAGTTTTATCACTTGTGATTTTAACTGGCACCCGAAAAATTTGTAGTGTCGTTAGACAATAGTCATACACAGTGGTATATTTACGGGGGGGGGGGGGGGGCCCGGGTCTCGACCCCCCCCAGAAAAAAATAATATTCATTTATATTATGTGTTTTTAATGTTTGTATTACAATATTTTTAAAAATAACTTGGATTTAACTATTAATTGACATTTATTTTCATAACAATAGTGAAATATAATATAATATAAATAATATCATTATTAAATCATAACTCGTATGTATTTTATTATAATGTTATAAACTTATATTTAATATTAAACCCCCCCCCCACAAAAAAATTGAAAATACGCCACTGGTCATACAATTTAAATCCACTTCTGTTAGTAGATACGAGTATATAATACTCTTAATAATTTAATATTATCTATTTGGTAAATTGCCAATAAGTAATGATTTATATAAATGTTCTGTGTCGTAACTATGTTCTATGAACCAATAATAAAGTAATATAATCTATATATTTCGTATTAAAATGAAGGATTTTCTAGTCACGTTTATAATATAAATTATTGTCAATAAATGACGTATTTATCATATTTTGATCACTGATCACCAACAAAATATACACACAGGCGACCATCGAATCCCATAGTCCCTAATTATTGAAATTAAATTGATTGACGAGATTCCTTAATTGATGAGCATCACTTTATGACTCTACAGCAACAATATTTTTCTTTAAAATTACAGTGAAAGGAATAAATAATTAAAAAGAGGAAAGTAAAATAACTGCTATATGTTGTAACATGATGGTGTATATCATCATTGAGTAAGTCATTAATGTACGTAGTAGGATCAAAAAGTTCCCGGAATTTATTTATAGAAAAAAAACTATTTTTCTTATCAAATATCTGTTTATTGGAATTAAAAGTAGACATTATTAGCTATCTGTAGGTTTTGTCGTTAAAATTACATTAGTCTCATGTGAGTCGTAATCGTGTCCATACGAAACGGAGTTTACGCATATTTTCAAAATGTCACAATTTGAACAACGCGCTAACATTAAATTTTGTTTTAAACTTGGAAAAACTGCTGCAGAAACGCTTGAATGTTTGAAAACAGTTTATGGCGATGAAGCATTAAAGAAAACAGCCGTTTATGATTGGTTTAAACCGTTCAAAAATGGTCAAGAGTCAATTCGGCGAAAAAGGCAAAGAAAATGGGAAAATGGTTGGTTTTTGCATTATAACAATGCACCGTACCACTCGTCTTTTGCAGTTCGGCAATTTTTAACGGATAAAAAAATTTCTACAATTCCACAACCCCCGTATTCGCCAGACATTGCTCCATGTGACTTTTGGCTGTTTCCAAATCTAAAACTTGGACTCAAAGGTGAACGTTTTGCGACGATTGAAGACATTAAAGTTAACGCAACAGCAAATCTCAGGGCCATTCCAATAGAGGGATACCAAAGATGTTTCCAGCAGTTACAAAGTCGTTGGAGTAAGTGTGTCTGTGCTGAAGGACGATACTTTGAAGGAGATTAAGTAGATTTATATTTAAATTGTATACATAAAAAAATAAAATAAAATTCCGGGAACTTTTTGATCCTACTACGTATATATTTTTAACTTGAATAATCTATTTCTATTAAATAAAATATCTATATTATATTTTAAACATAATAGATTAATATTCTGAATATTTTCATTTTTTAAATGTCATATCGTAAAATCTTAAGTTAAACTTCTAAATAGTGGATACTCTAAAATCTTGATCACTAAAATTATTTGCTATTCAGAGGGAGTAATTTTTTTAAACCATAATAGGTTAGGTAAGGTAAATTAAATTCAATGATAACTCATTCTACGAATAGGTATAACGTATAACATAAAAAACGATTATGAACAAAGATTATCTACATTCATTTTGGTTAGGTACCGAGATTACAGAACAATTATTTTAATAATAATATAATAGGATTTATATAAAAATTCACGGTTTTCCTTTTAATTTAAGAACTTGTGTATGGATGCTTACTTGTAACGATCGTCATCTTTTTGATTAATCTTAAATTTTAGTTCATTTCGAACAATTGGTGAATAACAGCAATTAACGATTGATTTTGAACTTGGTGAGTGAAATCCATGATTAATTTTAAAAGTGTAAGACCATTTATCTACATCAAGGATCACGCTGGTTAATGGCAATGTTGAAAAACACTTTGGAGAATTGCTTTTTTTAATCAAATTTTTAATTGTCTTATCGTAGGCACTTATGTTAGGTATTCGACAATTGTCATTCCATACAACATATCCTTCTTTCACGTTATCATCAATTGTTGTTGATTTTTTTGTATCTATAAAATGAATAGATATAAATAAAATTATTTGATTAGCTAATATAAACATCAAAATATAGTTTGTTTAAAGTAAATATTAACTAAATTATAAGATTACAATTATATATTACTATTTTCAGTTGTGATGACTTTTCTATAATATGAATTATATTTGGTAGACAGATGATCTATCGAATTTTCTATTTCATAATTGTTATCACTAAAATATAATAGAAACAAAGTCGTCATAAAAACCACGTATAGAATGATTTTGATTGCATCGTTTCTACATTTCGTCACATTTTTGTTTTCAATCATAATTTAAATGTCCTGCAAAAATAGTATAAACAATTAAAGATCATATAATTAAATCAAGGTTTTCAATAAATTGACTATTATTTATTAGTGGTAGGTATGTAAGACCTAAAAACACTTGGAGTTGAAGATTGGAGAGGAATAATACAAGATAGAAATAGGTGGTGAAGTGTAGTAATGGCGGCAAAAACTCTTAAAGAGTAGATAGGCCAAAAAAAAGAAGAAGAAGATATAAGTGTAAATAGTTTGAGATAGAAGGAGGGCCTAAAACTAAGATCTATAATTAACTTTTATAAAACTTTTATAATATTACAAAACCCTTAAAAACATAATAATTGTAAAAATATAAAATGTTTAGTTTTTTTGGGTAGCAGGGGTTGACCCCTCACTTAAATCCCCAGTTATTTGCACCTATGAATTCAGTGGTATGAACTATTAAGTATAGGATCTTTGATCCCCGGGCATCATGATTGAAATGTATACGAGCTAAGTAAGCTGGAATATAGATGGAATGCAGGGCGTTGGCCAAGGGTGGATGATGAGTAATTTTAATTAGATATATATAGTATTATAGTGGTAGGCAAAATAAACTATAATGAAATATATATATATATCATGAACATTGCGTGCATCATAATTTTAGGAAGTAGTTGGGTTATGCAGAGTTAGCCAGTGACCTGCAGTGTTGAACCTATGATAGTATGATACCTATTAAAAATGTACATATGTGCCTTCATGATTCATGAGTATTTACCATGCCACTGTAGTGTATATTATAATAATTAATAATATTATTTAGTTTATTTTAAAATAAATACGGGTAATCAAATAAATATAATGTTAGTGAAATAGTAGTTTAAACTATATTAGTAAACAATTTATTATTTTTAATAGACTAAATTTCAAAGTTTAAGGATTTTGAATTTATTGACATTCCCGATAATTTATAAATCAATATGATTAATATTGACATCATTATATCAAACATGCTTCAATGTTTGTAATCTAGTATCAATATAGGTACTTCCTATTTAAATAACCATTTAATTTGTTCAATCATTTTAATTAATACATTCTATTAATATATTAATCATTAAAAAAGGAACAACATTTATATTTAATACCATAATTTCTAACTGGCTTAAAATATTTAATATTTACATTTAAAAAAAAATCAAGTAGGTAGTTGTTTCAACATTTGAGTTGTATAGGTGTTGGGTATTTGAATAGGTACTTTACGTAATAGAAATAATTTTTAATCTATAGTTTTAGGTACGTTATCTATTTCAATATATTCTTGGCTATTGCATGTCTGTTAAATATTATATTTTTTAAGTTATTTAATATTTTAATAAATATAAGCTATAATTCTATAAATATTAAAATATAAAAGAAAAAATATTAACAATTTAAATAAGTATCCATATTTCCATATCTGTATTTAATGAAATAAAATACGAATCATACAATAAGCATTTGAGTGGTTATTGAATATTATTAAAGTACCTAATAGGTATTTAGTTTACAACTTTAAAATTATTCAATTTTTATTAAGACGAATTTCAAATTTCAATAAAATAAAAAATACATATTAAATGTTATATATATTAAAATATTAAAAAATTGAAACAGTATATTTATATTTTATATTTTAAAGTAAAAATCGAATACAAACAAAATTCAAGCATTCCAAAATATAACACTTCGACATCTCTTTAATGCCCCACCATATACTCTATTCTAACACTACTTAACGATCTTCATATGAAAACTATCGATGAGGAAGCACGCTTTTTTTTTATACACTTTCATCAGCAACTCTAAAATCATTACAATCCTCTAATAAAGATCTCTCTATCCTGACACTACCAGGAAATTCTTGTAGCAAGTTAAAAAAAAAGTGGTGTCGTGACCTATTACAAATAAACCCATAACCCTAACAAACAATAAAAAAAATTTTATTTGCATTTAAATAGATAAATAAGTATGCTAAGTGAAAAAAAACCAAGCTAAATGTCGCTGATGGGTGCGCATGCTTAATCAACCCCTTCATATTAACACCCGCCTTTAGTATCTGCAGTTTATTGAGAATTTTGTGTATAGATTGTTTATTTTAAATAAAAATAAATAAATACTTTAAACTAGCATAATAATTACGTACATATATAGTGCAGTATAGGTATGTGATTTCAATTAAATATTTAAATATATATAGTCGAACTTAGTTAACTCGAAGTTGAAGGGACCAGTAAAAAGTTTGAGTTTTCCAAATCAAATTTTTTTAAAACAGTACACAATATATTAATTCCTGTGTATTTATAATAAATAAAGTAATGTAATAAAAAATACTAACTCTTTATTTATACATGCATGAATTATGTTTATGTAATTTAAAAAAAGTATATGTATATAAACAAAAATTAAATTAGAAATTTATTTTTCAAATGGTATTTGTTTTTGTTTAAGTTTTGCTGTTGATCGGAGCGTTTGTGTGAATCGTTCTAAATCACTTATCGGTAATGATAACACTGATGAGTAATGACCTATTTTCGTTATTAAAATATTTACATAAGTACATGAGGGAAATATCACAATTTTTTAATATTAATAAAATTCAAAACTTCGAGTTATCCACGAAAATATTAGAGTTAAACAAGATTTAAAAAAAATTGTTTAAATAGAAAATTCTAGGGACCAAAGAAAAAGTTCGATATATCAACGATTTTGAGTTAAAGAAATTCAAGATAATCAAGTACGAGTTACGACTTTAAATTGTCTATACGAGTATACATTATGCAGTGAACGGCAATAAATACACCGAAAATATGGTACTTTAAAAATATTTTTTACGGAGAAAAATCACAGTGTACATATATTTTATCCACCGGACCTACGCTTCATTTCCTTTAACGATAAAAAAATTACTAAACAAAAAATTATTCTATGATATTTATAATTTGACTATAAGTATAATTTAATATTTATGTTATGATAAAATATAAATAAATAATACATTAGACGTTAATGCACCTTGATCTTCGACACAATATTAAAAAATATAAATTAATATATGACTACATTGTACGTATAAATATATAATATAAACAGTATATAAATTATTTTATATACTGTGAGATATGTGAGACTGCACGAGCATCTATGTATTATAAAATTATCATTTATGTTTTTATTCAACAATCTACAAAATAAAACAAAATAATTATTATAATACGAATTATGTATATGGGTAAATTAAGTTCAATAAACTATTTAAAAAATAGGTTATTTACTTATAATAAATAAGGACTATATAATTTACGAAAATTCTAACTAAATTTAAGAACCTATAAATATGCGATTTGTCATTTATTTAAAAATTACAGTTATGTTATTACTAATTATAAAATCGTTATTCTTTGTAGGTACTACTATGGCCTTAGGTATTCGTTCATTTTTATTTAGCTATTTATGAATTTTCCTGAAACTAATACCATTCGTACATTAAATCAGGTTATCAAATTGTATTTCAGTATATTATATTTTGTTTTATATTATATCGTTTTACGGTATATATAGGTGTTTGATTGATGACTATTCAAATGTATACTTAGTGAATATTGTATATCAAACATTCATACATTTATTTATATCTACAATTTAGTTAAGTAGGAATATGTTACAACTATGATAACTTACAATTTATAACAACAGATTGAAGAGTTTAAAGCACTTATTTTATATTTTATAATCCATAAAATAATAAATAATGCATTTTTTATCTATCCAGCTCTACTAAATTAAACTATGTTAAAGCGATCTCCTATGGCTGCATTAATGTATAATTTTAATGTATTTGTTCTAAAAAATATGTGATTTTATAATATGTTACTTACTCGTTGTGTTCGCATTAAAATAAAAAGAATGGGCAGTTGGTGTAGTAATATGTAAGAAATTAAAAATAAAACACTATAATTTTTTTCCCGAGTATTTTACTGATCAACATTAATTCGTATTAGGTATTATTTAAGTAAATTAATAATAATAACAAAGATAAATCATAAAATATATTATCATGCATATTCCAATACATTGCACCAATGTTACACATGTTTTTATGTTAAATATTATATACTATAAATGCGTGTGTATAATACTATAATAAATGATTATACCATTAAAATAAAGATAAAATAAGAATAATAATGTATAGAATAAGCCCCGAACTGCGGAATTAACGACTGGCGTGTCTGCGCAGTATTGGCGCATTGAGCCATATTATTAATATTTCCTCTGCGACACCGCCACTGCCATGCACAGCTACAGCATTGCTGCTAGGTTTCACTGCGTTAATATCACGCTTATCATTTTTATCCGTACTATACGTCTATACCAAAATATCGGGCAGCGGCAACGATGAAAATAACCTACGCACAATATTACGTTACAGTACTTAAAACCTGTCCTGTGCGGAATTGCACGGGACCGATTAAAATTTCTGTTTTTAGCGGGTTCCGTGTAACTGAATAAAAAGGAAAATCCCGTACTTTCAGAATTACAATATTCTACACGATTAAGATTTAAGGTTATACCTAACATTTTCCGACCAATAATAAAAATTAGAATGTTGAAAATTAATAAATATCATAGACTACAATAAATTTTAATTTTTAATAAATAATTAGGTACATAATAATGATAAATTTCAATTCCAAAATTTGAAGAACATAATTTTTAGTAGGTATTAATCTAATGATATAATATATATAAAATAAAGTAAATAGATTAAAATACAATTAAAAATTCCAAAATGCGTGTAAAGTTTTGTCCAGTTTTTTCTTTAATAATTTACAACTTTCTTCTATAACTTTCATTTAATCATTTGAACTCAAACAAATCTTTGAAGATATTGTGAGAACAAGTAAGACGAGACGAAAGACAGGAAAACTACGACCATACGGTGTGATAATAATGAGCACTGATGATATAGATTCAAGATAAAATGTAAGACAAGTTATCTATCGACACGTATTAATATTTAATATTGTCGACCTTAATAATTGTTTAATAATAAAATAAATGTGGGTATCAAAAATATTTTTATTCGTTTTATATGTTTTTCCGTTTGTTAAAGGAATATATGGTTTACGGGACCAAAATAAGCTTTCCGTTTTACGTTAGACTGTAGGTTCCGTTTTATAATGCGTTTAATCCTAATATGTAAAATTATAGAAATTTGCCGGGACCATAATAAATTTCTGCTCAGAACAGGATTCCGTCTTAACAAGGGTCCGTATAAGACAGGTTTTACTGTGTTATAATTTTCTAACACATACACGTCGGAATGATTTTTAAAACAATCGTATTATAATAAAAATATTTGACACTTTTAACGACGGTTTAATAGGTAACTGTAATTAATAAAAACAATCTTGTATTCCATCGACTCGGTTTCGTTGTGACTATATCAGGTTGGTGAATAGAGAATTACTAAGTTTCTAAGTACTAAAGTACCTATATAGTAAGTATACATCAAAAATTTAACGAGAAACCTTATATTAACTTTTTTACTTACAAACAAAAATTTTATAAAATATTAATCGAAAAAATAACCTAAATATAAGAAAAAAATGTCATATGTCTATTAAAATTACATTAAAACGGATAAAAAAATGTTGATAATTATAATATTGTGTCTAGTAAATACTAATATAATTAATATTAAGCGAAAATTTCGAGTCTCTAGGGTTATTCATTTTTGAATTAAGCACCTACACTTAGATATAAGAAATTGACAAACAATTTGGTTTTATTTGTAATTTTAGGTATTTAGGTTATAATAGGGTGTGTTCATTTTTATAATTTTTTTTTTTTGATTTTACGATATTTAAGTTTTTTTTGTGTATGTGTTCACAATAATAAGCTTTCGAAAAAATAATGCTCTGGTTTTCAATATTGAGGGTTGTTTTGGATAAAAAGGATCATAGTTTTTACTTAATTGAAATAATAATAATAAATAAAAAAAAAAAAAAAAAAACAGTAAATTATAAGGAAAAACAAAAATTTTTATGTAAATCCAGTTTTCAACAAAATCGATTTTATTTATTTAGTGCAACACAAAAATAAATAATCATAAGTATTAGGTTAGGTTATATATTTATATGAACAATTTCTAAATATAAAACCTATAATTTTCAAAATATTTTGATTTTTTATAAACCATTTATAGATGTTTTAAAATTTTCTAATATCGATAAATAATTATTCACTGGATAAAAATACCTGAAAATTTAAAGTCGCGATATTTTTATATCAAAGGTAAAATTTAAAATGTTGACAAAATTTGTAAAATTTCGAAAAGCATCTTTTTGTGTACCTATTTAATTTATAAGTTTAGTACAAGATTCTTCATAATTTTTTAATCTATATTAAAACATAAAAATTATAACAAAAAATCAAAATAATTTTTTACAGAACCTTCGAAGTTCAAATGTTTACAGAATTGTTTATTTATTCAGCTGTAAAATAACTATTTCTCTTTAAACCAATTTTGATATTTTTATGTAATTAAATAACGAATGACTATAGATAAGAAATTAAAATGTTCACACCAATTATTAATGCATCATCAAATTCTATACACAATAAAAATGTTCTAAATAATACTATTCTATTTAAGTTATTTGAAAGCATGAGAAAATTTCGATTTTTAGTTCTTATTCTATTTATGCCGATAGTTTTTTTTTTTTTTTTTTGATTGATTAAAAGGCTTAAAAAATTAATTCAAAATCCTCGAAATAAGTTGTTCGTATATGTATATTATACATAAAAAAATTTAAAATACACGACACAATTTATTTTCATTAGCATTTGAAGTACAAATTCGTCAAAATTGCGAAAATTATTAGCAAATTGTTTTACAGTTGACAATTTATAAGATGGTGCAATTTTTATTACTAAGGCTTTAATTTTCAATATAAAACTTCTCATATATAGTTCATATTGAAATTAAAAATTAAAAACTTAATTTTTTATAAACATTTAAGCTCAAAATTAGATGAAATAAAATACATAATATTTAAAATATATGAATAACAATATTCATTATTTGGTTTTAGCTCAAAAACATTATTTGTAGAGATCTAAAACTTTTATGTATATTATTATATATTATATTACCAATGGAAAATAAATTACTTTACCTTATAGTAATATCAAAAAACATAACTTGTGATGTAGATTAATAGACTTTCTTTACTTAGAGTCATATTTTTAAAAAATAAAAAGAATTTACAGAATAATCAATTATTCTTTTCAACCAAATGACAAACATTTTTTTATATAAAAATATACAATTATGTAAGTGGTAAGAAAACTTTCTGCATTTTAACACTTAATATTAATTAACAAAATACCAAATTTAGGCATGCACAATATATAATAACAGTAGATGTTTATAATATATTGTGTATTAAAATTATGAATAAATCATAAATGCGATCGGGATGTATCTCTAAAATTTCAGCCGACTAATTAACATATTTGTTGGAGTTCTGATAACACACCACATCCAATAAATGCTATAAAGTAAATATAGACCACGATTTAACATATAGAAGTTATCGTATTCATATTTTCTTATAATATCAATGACAACGAACTCGGTTTATTTCCATACTATACAATTTATCATTATAAATTATGATAGAAAAAGTCTCATCAGCAATAACGTTAATGTTTCATTTAGAAGAGGTGGCGTTTTAATTGCCATCAAAACTTTACTTTTAAATCAAAAGTAATTTGTATTCTTATCGTGTCCATTAATCTTATTAATTGGCGCTGTATACATCCCACTTCATTCCGATATTAATGTTTATATATACATTCAGATATTGTCGATACTGTAAATAATTTATTAGTTTCATGTTGTAATTTAAAAATTATTTTATTAAGTGATTATAATCTTCCTGGTGTACATTGCTCGGTTGTTGAGAAAAATATTGTCTCTATCTTACTTAATTATATAAATTTAAAAACTAATATGCATTAGCAAATTTTTTTTATCTAAATCTTCAAAAATTCAATACAAGAAAAAATCGTAAGAATTCTGTACTAGATTTAATTTTATTAAATTCAACCAATATTGTAATTTTGTGTGTGAAGGACACGTTATTACCAATCGACTATATATTATATCATTCAGCTTTACTTGTTACTTTTCCTATTATTAAAAACTGCCAAGCCCTACAATATAATGAATTTATATTTTGTATATGATTTTTCTCAATGTAACTATGATGTCACATAACGTTGACATTATTTAATATTTATATTAAATCTCAATTAGCATTTATCGATATATGATTGGCCAGTTGTTTTCAAAAATAAATGTATAATTTATGGTATATTTCATTACTAGACATTTTTATCGTGTATAACAGTATGTATTGATGCTTTTAAAAAATACCTATATAAGAACATATTAAGGTCTAATAGAATATCGTTTAATTTTGAAAATTTAAAACATCAGTACCTACTTATGATCGGAATAATATGTTTTAATAGCATGAGTAGTTTAGAATATTATTTTATTAACTTTAAAACGTATTATTTATTTTATTTTATTTTAATTTTTTTAGTGTATATTTCATATTTTTTGGTGTATAAAATATTAATTCCATATTTTTGTATATTTTAATAAATCTAATGTATATTTTATAATTTTTTATTGCAAATGATTCCTAGCCCTAGTGATGATCAACATGATTTTAGAAATGATAAATTATTGATTACAAATCATTTAGTTTTCCTTAAGTTAATATTAGACGCTGTTGCACCTAGATCCTAAGTATCTAGATGTTATTTATATAGCCTTTTTTTAAAGCGTTTGATAAGGCGGTATACCAATAAATACTTAGATATAACTAAATTACATGGGCAACAGGTATTCAGAACTCACTTCTTTCTTGGATTTCAACCTAAGTATCAAACAAAGAACAAATTGTGATGTATAAAAATTTTGATCATATAATTTATTTTTCATGCTAGCATGTACTTGACCACTTAATACACCAACATCATATAAATAGTGTAAGACGTTTAAGTTCACCACATTGCCAAATTCGAATAAGTTTTCTCCTTTAGAAAATATTTAAGTGTTGGTAATAAAACTAATGATTGAAGATATTTTAATTATGCTCCTTAATATCAGTCAAATACCTATAGACTATAGTCTATATCTATAGCACAATAATTATGTGATGAATACATTTTTCATTCTACGTGTAATTTGCATATAAATGTGCATAAAAATTGTCAACAATCCAATTTTGGTACCTAATTTAAATTTTAAGAAATTAAACTAAACACAAAAAAAAAAAATTATTGTAGTCCTTGCAATTTTAATAGATTGATCGTTAAAGTGACATCAAAATAGGTATTTGTGTTTATTGAATACCTTACAGTGTGTCAAACGGTTAGATGCTCGTTGATTAGTGATAGGCGATAACATATCTTAAACCGTGATTACTAGCTACTGTAGATTATTTCCCATCACCAATGTAAGTAATCATTAAATTTATCACTTTAAAATAAATATTAGTAATATTACTATTATTTATTATTACTAATTAATATTTAATATTTAAATATTTTAATAGCTAATTTCTAATCTAGTAACATTGTAAATTATTGAAAGATTGAAACAATCTTACACAGTCATATTTAAAATATAATTTGTATTTTTTTGAAGCCTTGATTGTTAGTTTGTATTGTTCCATATTGAACAATATATTTCTGAATGGATAAATTACAGGATGCCAAAAGTTTTGCTTCTTCAAGTAAGAAAAATTCAAATGAAAAAGTAAGTCTTTACGCTGTTTAACTGTTAATCATTATGCCTATTATAATAATTTATACAAATTTATATTATAATTTTTTTAACTGTTGATATCTTATTATAAAAAAAAGAACAATTAAATAATATGTAATTTCAGGACACCAACATTTTAATGTTTAGATATAATAAATAAAAATCATTAATATCATTATTATTTTTAGAGTTTTGATGCAGATTCTATGATTAAAAATATCATTTCTCAAGACACATTTGTTGTCAATAAAGACCATCAATTGTATTCGGTAATATTATTTATTAATAATAATTACCAATTAGAAATAAGAGGATACCTTAACTTAATTTGTAGTCTCTGTGTTAGAAGTGCTTAACATTGAAAGCTTTTGTTTAGCTTCATAGCTACATTAGTTTTAATATTAACACAAATTGACCTATCATAAAACTCAAAGTTAAGAACATTATCTGTGTTTGTATTTTATTTTTTTTACAATATTTTAATTTGTAAACATTTATTAATTATAATATTTTACACCTATAGTTTACTTAGTAATTGTAATATAAAAAACTTATATTCAAACACAGAAATTTTCACCTAAAGTTTGATGATAATTCAATTCACTCCAATATTAAAACTAACAAAGCTAAACATTAATTTCTAAGTAGGAATCTGCTACTGAGTGTATTAGTGATTTTCACTTTTAAGACGTACACTAGAAATTGTAAAGAGTGATGAGGTATCCTCTTTAGATTAGAATTACTTAAAAAAAAATTTTAATTTTGTGATCATTGTTAAATAATTAAATTGTCCAACTAATTTATAATCAATATCACATACAATTTGATAATTTCAATGATATTTTCTCAATGATGAGATTATTTGTTTCAGAATTTGCCAAAATGGATGATACCAAAATCTGGTTTTGTGCACCCATTGTATGAGCAGATATGGCAGTATGTGAAATCTGATAGACGTGATAGAACATGTGATACGCATTTAGTTTCACAGTTATTGATGACTAGTGGTCTACCCGTTGATGTACTGGGTGGATTATGGTCCATGGCTAATGTTGGTGTTGAAGGATCATTATCTCAACAAGAACTTTATATAATTCTGGCTTTGATTACACTGGTTCAGGTATTATTAGTGAATCTAGAAAAATTACCACAATATACCCTGTTCCAAATAAGATGACTTGTGCGCAAACGACCGAATCACGTTCAGTTCGCATTAGAGTAGATTGCTTGTCACTGTCCATGTTGTGAAACCAGTCGTTGTGTCATACTGCCTAACCATAGTGTTTGTGTGTGATCTGTTAGCCACACCCACCGTGCGCAAACGCAAGTCATCTTATTTGGAACAGAGTATAGGTTTTTAGCAGTAGCGGACAATTGTCACCCATAATATGCAATGAGGAGCACCAGGCATGTAATTTATAGTATATAAATTCAAATGTCAAAATAATATTCAATTTTGATTTTAAAAAACACTTATTATACTACCAGTTAGTGATCCTCTATCAATTATTATTTATATAATATATGTATTTTGATGTTTTGGATGTTTCTTGTGATATTTTTTATGTTAAAAATATGGAAGTATTTCTAGTTGAAAAATAAAATAAGAAATTTGTTTCAATTAAATACTTATGTATTTAAGAAATGGTTAATAGTGGCATTGAGTTAATTATACAAATAATTAAAAACATGTTCAATAATTAAAAGAATTAACATTATGTTTTTATTTATAATTAATATCTAATAACAGATTACTTAATCTTATTGAAAGTTAAACTTAAGTGAAGGTTAAAAAATTATCCATAATCCATGAAAAACTGAAATATTTTAAATGATTTGTAATAATAACAATTATAAATAAAAGAAATAAAAAATATATTTGATAGAGTTATTAAACTTGCATTTTGAATATACTAACTTGCATTTTGAATATACTTTAAGTGGCAATTGATCTAATACCAATATTTTTTATTTATAAAATAACTATTTAGTTGATAAATGAAAAATTGTTTGTTTAGAATGGATATTCAGTGTCTAATGTGTCATTGTTGCAACATATTCATAAACCAATAATACCACAATTGAATTATACAATTATCGAGAAAAAACATAATGTATCAACAGTGAAATCAAATATTGAACATAAACCACAATTATCAAATAAGACAAGTTCTATGCCAAAAATCAATAATGAACATCAAAATGTTTATGCCAAAAACTTTCAACAGCCAAATTGTAATATCATTTCTTCTGAAGAATATGACCCGTTAGCAGTAACATTTATAGAACCAAAAAATCAAATGTCTAAATTTATGTCTCCAATATCTACTAATCCTGAACCGAAATCTTTAGACTTTGCTCCTGTCAATAACAGTTTTGAGGCATTTGATGATGAATTTTCAGATTTCCAATGTGCTCAGTTTACAATCACTGACAGTGAAAGTAATCAAGAATTTACAGATTTCCAATCAGCTTTTGATACATTGTCTTTTAAGGAAGACACTAAAATTCATGAAAAAACTGCTGAAATGTTAAATGATACGTCAACAAATGTTGTTTCAAGTTTGTTAGATCAACAAAATATAATAACTAACCAAGATAATATTCTTGATAAATATGAAGTGTTTCGGACTTTGGCAGCTGAAACTGATGATGTTGAAAATGTAATGAATAAAAATAACTGTAATGATCTTTTGGAAATAAATCCTGCGGAAAATATTGATGAGAATATTCAAAATGATGTTTACGATGATGAATTTGGAGATTTCTTATGTGTCGAAGAAGTTTTAAGCAATAAACTTGATATTGAAATAGATTGGAAAAATGTTCAAGTATGTATTTTTCATAACTTTTGTTTATAGAATAAACATAAAAATTATATATTTACTTTAATCAGTCAGTTATTATAAAGTTTATTAATTTTTGACTATACAAACATTTTTTTTCATTTATTTATTTTTATAGGTGCAATGCATAAATAAATGTTTGGAATTTTTGCAAGAAGGTTTTATTACATTTTCTAACATATCTGATGAGAAAGTACTGATGGAAGTTATAAATCATGATAAAGGAATTAATTACTTAACACGTATGGATAAATAAATTTAATATTACTTGAAAAACTATATATTAATTTAATTTAAATGTTTTAGAATTAAATTTAATAAGTCAAATATGTCAACGAATACTTAAAAACTGTTATTGTCCATCATTAGAAGATAGATTAAATGATGTATTGAAAAGGTTGGAAACATATTTCAATAACTCTACCTGTAAATCAACTAACAATACAGAGGTAAATTTAATAATTTGTATATGAACATAAAATAAATTTTAATTATTTAAAAAATTAGGTTTTAGATTCCATTAAGGATTCCATACCATGTTACTTATGCAAATGCAATTGCAGTACAGATTCTACTGAATATATGTTAAACCTTTACCACTCTTCGTGTATAAATTTATTGATAAATTTTGTTCAGACTTCTCACCTTTCTGTTAAGTAATACTTATTAGCTCTTTTCTAAAAATGTTTTAGCTCTAGAATTATGTTACCATAAAAATAATTTGAATTATGTTATTGTATAAATAAATTGTATTGTTTTATTTATTAAACTGTTATTATATTTATTAAAGAACATTTTTATTCTTGTTTTTATTATACATAAATATGTTAATTCAAACATATTATAGTATTCAATAAAATTATATTCATTGAAGAAATGTATATTTAATTTTTTTTAAACATTGTATAATAATTTAAATATTAATAAATAAACAGTAAACACAGAATACAGTTATAAAATTAATAACAATTATTAAGTAGTATTAACTACAAATAATAAATAACTATTAATTGACTAGATATAAAATATAGTATTTAAAAAACAACATCAAAATAGATATTTATGTTACAGACATTACAATTTAGAAGTTTTAAAAAAGGCAGTACATTAAGATTGAATAGACACTAAAATTAAATTAATTCTTAACACTCAGATAAAAGAATATATCCAAGAATATAATTATTGTTAATGATTATACTGAATATTATTGTATTCCTTTATAATAATCATTTAAACTTTAAAGGAATCAGTCAGAATGAAACTTATTTATAAATTGTGAAAATAAATAATTTTTATTCTAATATTTTTTTATTTTCCATCTTCTTCCACCTCAGACTCTTCATCCTTAGATTCTTCATCTTTTTTTAATAGTAATGGAAACATTCCCAAAAAGCAACCTAGAGTAACTCCAAGTGTCCTTCCCTAATAATAATATGAGTTAATACAAAGACTTAAAACAATGAAGTAGGTAAATAATAATACTACAACCAAAGTATAACTGAATATTAAAAAATAAAACATCTTATTTTAAATAAAAATGATATTTAGGTATACACTTATCAATCTCAAATAAAAATAAATGTTTAAAATGATTTAAGTTTTTTTTATTATTTTCTCGGTAATATAATTTTTAAATAGAAAATAATGTTAAAACATTTTTTTAAATAATTTTTACTGATTTTTATTTAAATAAAAAATGTACTCCTCAGTTAATACTTTTGGTTTTATATATTTTTAACCTTACTAAATTAGCAGCTCGTCTACTACACTTCATATCCAATTGAATAGGTGTTAGATTAGGAGGTTTTAAACCAAGTTTGATTACCAACTGTTCCACATAATATGAAGAGCCAATTCCAAGTATATCAGAAAAAGTATTACCAATTGCAGCAGCAGCCATTGTCGATATTGTAATTACAGCACCAACTGTTCTTTCAATTGATTCACCCTAAAAAACATCTATAGTCATACACACATACATAATAGTAGTAAAACTATTAAACTAAAATACTATTTAATTGTTTTCATACACATATTAACATCACTGAGTTGTCCAAAAATCCAAACATAATGAAAGGAATAGCATTTTGCAATCCCACTGTAGAAAAAAAATAATCAAATAACATTAATTTTAAATAAGTATTTAAAAAGCAAACTAAATAATGGAATTAAAAAAAAAAAAAGTTTAAGTTAAAAAATTAAGTACTACTAATGACCTATATATACAACCAAAATTTATTTTAATTAAAAAAAAAAAAAAATAAGTATTACATACCTCTAAATAGTTGGGCTCGAGTTGGTTCTGGTACAGTCTCCGCTAATTTAAATAAAATATTAAACAAAATTAAATTATAAATATAATAATTACATTAATTTTTTATTTTTATTTTTTTTAATAAGTATAATTTTAATAGCTAGTAAATATTAATAGTTATCTTACTGTTAGTTTCTTCTATCCATTGTAAGAAAAAAATAGTATTTAGAAAAAAAAAATTGGTATTAAAATAATGAATTTGCAGCAAATAATTTAATATTGTACAGCATATTTATTATAAATACTAAATAGATAAATACCATATTTTTTTAATAACCATTCTTCTGGCAATGGGCAGTAAGAGCCTGTTGGATCAACATCTCCTAATTCAGGTACTTTACTGGGACGTCCAAACTTTGAACGCCATCTGAACCCAGCCAATTGACCTATTGATATAAAGTTAATAAATCTATGCATGATGAAAGATTTTTAAGTCTAATCACATCTTCAAAATAGGTATGTAGATAGAAATTATAAAAGAATAGAAGTTGAAGTAGGTAAATGAATAAAGAACTCATGCAAAAAGTCCAAAACTTGATAGGTACTAAACCTCGATATTCTGCTTTGGTCTCTTCTGATTCATAATGATTTAAGCACCAAGCCAAATTATCTCTCTCTTCATTTGTCAGTTTCATTACTAATGTGTGAGCTTTCTCCTTAGTTAATGATTTATCATCATCTTGTTTAGAATTTGTAACTGCAGCTGTACATAGCCGTCTGATCATAGAAACGTTTCTTATTCGGCTTAATTCCCAATTACATATGGTAATTTTCCATATTTTATTTGATAAAGAACACATTTTTAATTAAATACTTGAAAAACTTTTTTAATTTGTCAGTAAAATGAATATAATAATAAATGCAATTTCAAAAATTGTTTGAAGCTTAATATATACTGTAATATAATATTTTTTTATTTAAACTCAAAATTTAATGCTATTCAGTTAATATTAATTACTATAATAATAATGGTAACTCAAGTAGTCAAATTTTAAGTTAGAAAATTACAATATAAAATTATAAAACATAATTGCCATTACACAGTACACACTATGAAGTATAAACTGAGATATAGTAAGATATTATTATCTCAATAGTTGAACCATAGAATTCCAAGTTATAACTATCAAGTATCAAGTAACAAGTTTATATAGTCAAAAGTGACATCACCTGACGCTGACGCCTGACACCCACACAGGCCACACACATAAGTAGACAGTAGTCATATGCCCACCCATCAAATTTCAAATCAATACTTTGTTATTTTTGATAATAAATGTATACCGAGTTCAGTAGTGTTACCAAAATAGTCCAATACCGTGGTAGAATTGGTAGATAAGTAGATATAAATATAATTTAGCGCCCACGCATTTTCCAAATAGAAATGGATGTACTTTTTTACGCTGAGAAATGAGAATGATGGTGTAATTAGAATCGATTGGTCATTCTAGCTTTCGATTTATAACACTTAAAAATTAGTGTAGTTTGTAAATATTATGCGTGTGATGTTAAATGTTTTAACATAACTTAGGTAATATTTTTTGTTAGTTATCGCTACAAAGTTGCCTATATTATAGTAGTAATTTATTTGTATATCTACTGTCACAGTCACACAAATATATCAAAGGTTTGGAACCGTATTCCGATTTTTTTTTGTTCATTTTACCAATGTTAAAATATTTTGATTAATGAATATCGAATAGTGAATGATAGATACCGCAAAATGCATTTTCTTACCTTGTTACCTACGTCCTACCGGCTACCCACCTATCTAAGGTGGTATTACATACTAAATCGAAAGATAATTTCGTTTCAAGCTGTCAGACCATCTTAATTACTAATCACACTTTTTGTTATCTCAATATTATATCTTTACGTTATTTTGTTGTTCATTATCGATCGTACGAATTTTCGTATAAATAGATAGGTATTAAATTTTGTATAATTTAAGATAAAAAAATATTATTTTTTTCAATTGTAAATAAAACTTACCTACTTATTTTTAGTTCATAATTATTTTCAACGCAGTATACCTGTATACGGAATACGTATTTCTAATACTTCTAAACTTTAAAACAAACTTATTTATATGATAAAAAATGAGAAGAGATTTGGAACACCCGTAGGTAAATTCATTTTAGATTAGGTTTGGTTAAAAAAATTAATAAATTCAATTAAAGTGAAATAAATTGAATAAGACAATGATTGCAATCTAATTCGATCATAAAACATAAAAAAATATCAATATTTAATTCAATAATGAATTCACTCTGCGATATCGGATAAACATATGAAAAATGTTTGTAGAAATATTTACACAATTTAATAAATATAAAAAAAAAATTGAATTATCCATTGAAATTATTACCTACCTACTATCATTAATAACTTAATCGTGTGATGAAACGAATATTGGCGATTAGCATTTGTCGTTTAACATAAATGATAACATTATCCTAAAGCCTAAGCATAATCATTAGCACAGTCGTTATAAAAAATATAAGCATTAGTTCATTAGTATAATTTTATAACTTATAAGCATAAGCTTTTGAAGTTTTTATGAAACTTACGGCGAGCCAAGTGCTGAGACAATGCGTAAAGGGTACTGAGTGGCGAGTGCTAGACACTTAGTTATACTATACATAGATATACCAATTATTTTTGGTCTATGCAAAACTGACAGCATCAAACTGTGATAGTCCTTTGAAAGCCTAATAGATTAAATATTCATTGAAAATATATTTCATTCAACTACTGAACTACGGATCATATCTGATATTTACATGAAAATAATTCGAGAAACATCTAGAGTAACGACGTTGAACAGACGTTTCTGGGCGAGTACATAATACATATTATATACTCAGAAGACATTTGGTCGTTGAGACGTGGACGTGATCGTCAAGTATAAGTACATTTTTAAGTTTTTACACGAAAAATCTTAGATTATTTATTTTATCTATGTATAATGACAACATCTATGTTAGTAAAAATAATAATAAACAATATGTGTTTTGATTTGACCACCTACCTACTTAAATTATATATCTAACTATATAATATTAAATTTAATAGATCATTTTTTTAACTATCTATTATGTTTGTAAGATGGTTGATATACAATCGTATTATTATGAGTTGAAAATGTAGTTATTATTTCTATTATTTTTAATTTTCATAATCAAAACTCCATATGTGTCTAGTGGCGGATCCAGCTCGAGATAATGGGGGGGGGGCAAATATTATATACTACATAAATAATTTAAAATTTATTATGATTTTTTTTTTACTAAGTATTCTTTTCTAAATAAAACACAGCTTACGGGTGGGGAGCGCCCCTCCCCCATCGTTTAATCAACGCTTGTATGTACCTAGTAGGTAGGTACCTACGTATAATGTATGCAGTACTCTTATTGGTTGGTCTACAGGTCGATGCGTTTAGTTTGAAATAAACATTTTGGACCAACTTTACTTAAGACATTATATGGGCTCTACGAAAAATATTAAATGGGATAGACAAAAATTCAACTGTTCCAACTTCCATGTAACTCTATTAATCGATAATTGGTGTTGACTGCTAATACAATAATATCTACTTCTTTAAATACATCAAGTGAACAATTATCATTAGATATTTTTTATCAAATTGTCTCGAACTCTCAGAGGGTTATTAGATTTGTGGCATAGTTCAAATTAAATTAATGTATTATTTAAATGTATCGATAATTTTGGCCTGATTTTTAGCAAAGATCGGCACACATAAAAGTGTTTGTCGCATAAAATTTTTGTGTTGACATGATGAGTGAAATATTAATTAAAAATAATGTATTTTCATTAGTAGCAACACGTAAAATGGTCCGTGAAAAATGAATCTAAGTGTTTTAGAATAATCAGTTCAAAAATTGTCCCATAGTATAATTACTTTTTAAGCCAAAAGACATAAGAGCTAATATCAATGAACAAATATCTATTTGTTCTACTAAAGTTATATTTATTTTAATGCTTTTATTTTTATGAAAACATGTTCGAGTCATTACTTGTTTCATAAAATATATCTTCTAGTAACCACTTTATCCAAAAAACATTTGTTCCAAACTTTTTTTGAATAAATGCATGATGGGAAAAATGTCTTGTGGACCTATATTTCGATTTTGAACCTACACATATAGGGCATACACTATTTTTTTCTTGCATATCTTAATAGTTTAAGAATAAATAAATGAAAGTATGTATTATTATAATATATTTTATACAGTCTGTGGTTGAAATCTAATATTATAGATATGCCTTAATTAGTAGTTACGTTATTACGAGATGTATTTAATTATTCAGTGTATTTTACGTGTCATTTGATTAAATCGTGGACAGATAGTTTTGAAATTACTAAATTGGAAAATATTATATTTTAAGGTCGTGGATTTAATACTTTTTTAGTGGATTCAATTGTCCGAATCTCTGAGGCTTCGGTAAACCAATAACCATTATAGCGAAATACTAATATTATCATATAGAACAGATGAAATAATAAATACAATCTATTCTGTGATAAATGATAATATTATTGTTTTGTGATAGTAGTCTACCCTTTTGATCGTGTAAATAAAAAATGCCATAAATCAGTGGTTTTCAATCTTTTTAACAATGTAGCACACTTCTTCCTTTACAAAATTTTTGCGGCACACCAATTTATATAATCGCAGCACACTTCAAAGGCGTTTGCGGCACACCAGTGTGCCGTGACACACTGGTTTGCGGGTTTGCGGCACACCAGTGTGCCGCGAAGTGTGCCGCGGCACACCAGTATGCCGCGACATACTGGTTGAAAACCACTGCCATAAACTGTTAAGTTGTTATAACTTTACAAATGGTCACAAAACTGTTTATATTTTCCTTGAGTTAATTCTCAGATTGAGGTTAATGTTTAAATTTTTCCGCTATTTAAAAATTGATAGTATATATTAAATTTGTTTGAAATTTTGAAAATAGTTTCTTCAAAATGTGAATTATTTAAATGTTCTATGTTCTTAATTTCTTTTTTTTTTATTAAAACTATTAATATTTATCATAAAAACATAGTGACAGTCGTAAACCTTATTTATATTAATAACTAATAAGCAATTACACTACTGTAATAATGAAGTTCTAAATAAAAATTAGAATCATAACTATTTATTAGTGTATGTTTAATTTATATTATGTTATTATTAATTATTATAGTGAACTAAATTAATCAGAAGTGAATGTTTAATTAAATAAACATTAATAATGGCCTCAGTTATTAAAATGGAAGTGACGTTGGATCATGAAGCAATAATGGATAAATATCGTTCAGATATTACGTTGTTAACAGATCCAAATGTCGAAGATGAACAAAAATTAAAAATTGTCCAAACTTTGAATGAAAACTTTGAGGTAAAAATTAATCTTATATCATAGGAAAGAAATAATTGTCTTCATCATATTAGTAAATGTGGTTACATTGAGTCTGATTGTATATCATGCATTTATAGATATTTTTATTCTCGAGTATATATACAATGAAATTAAATTGAATATTTACAACTCAATTGTAGCTGCATATTCTAACAATATTGATTTTGGAAATATTTGTATGATTTACTAAGCATGCTTAGTTAAATTTGTATTATGATTTATTCTATACTTGTTTGTTAAGTTCTATTTTGATGGATTTAAAAAAAAAAGTGAATATTTTTTGTATTATCATAATTTGTTAGTAAGACTAATTGTTTTCTCCTAACGAATTAAAACTACATTTTTGAACTTAATAATTCAAATAATATTAACTTAAGCACAATTTAAATTATACAATCTACATAAAGTAA